TTCCTGTGGTGTGGGCCAGTGGAATTCCAAGAAAATGGACAAGGGCAGAACCTGTAAGAATTACCCCTAAGCCAGAGTCTCTCCTGGTAAGGCAAACCCAGTATCCTTTAAAATTAGGAAGCCAAGCTGCATTGGTTCCAGTAACAGCTAAATTTGCTCCTCATGGTTTGATAGTAGAATGTGAATGCAAGGACCTGTAAAGAAAGGAAATGGGAAAGCTGATTGATTCCTGGGGGCAGGGGCTGACAGACAGTGGCACTGGATGTTTGGTTGTGGTTGGGAATGAGCAGCTTGACCTCCCCAGGGTTGTCTGTGCTGGGGATGGGTTTGGGTCCTGTGTGGCCACAGGTCTGTGCAGCAGCTGGAGGCTGGGCAGGTTTGGGGGCTGTGGTGTGCCAGGCTCCTGAGTTTGTTGTCCCTGTTTCCTTTCAGTGTCCCCGTGTCCCTGCAGGCAGAAGAGCCCAGGCCTGAGCTGGCTGAGTGTTGGTGTGACCCACAGTGGGTGTCCCCTGCCCTCGGGACAGTCCCCAGAGCTCCCTTTGGCATCCCCTGCTGAAGGGTGGGAGCTGCCCAGAGCCAGCAGCATCCAGCTGGAGGATCCCAGAGGATGCAGCTGATGTTGTCTGGGAGGTAAGAGGTGGGGGTGCAGGAGCTGGCAGGGGTGTTTGCAGGCAGAGGGAGGGCAGGAGCAGGAGAATTGCAGCTGCCAGCAGCTGGGTCCGTGCTGGATGGAGTCGGGGCTGGGAAAGGGCCCTGAGTGTCAGGGCAGGGGAGAGCCCAGGGTGGCCCTGGGAGCCCTGGGGCTGTGAACAAGTGCAGTGGGCAAAGGAATGGGCACTGGAGAGCTGGGAAAACAGCTGGAGGAGTTGCAAGGAGAACCAGGAGACTGGAATCCAGGAGCAGCAGCTCCTTGTGTGTGTAGAAGCAGCTGTACTGCAGCCCCGAGTGAGGTGGAAAATGAACCTCAGGAGGCTGGGAACGAGTCCCCCAAACTGGTTAAAGTGGGATGGACTCTTCCCAAGAGTCTGAAAAGCTTTTCTTGTTTTTGTTTGTTCTGCTTTATCAGTTGAAAACAGAAGTGATTTTCAAGGTGTTGGCACTTGTTTTCCTGTGTCTTTGGTGAGGTGCTGACTCAGTACCTTTCCTGGAGCTGCTGTTGGATGAAGAGGTGCCCCCAATTGACCTGGAAGGTCCTGTTTTTTTCCCTGCTTCTCCCAGCTTGTCCAGGAGATGAAATTCCAATGCTACAGTCTAGATGGGTCATGGTTCTCCCAAAAGGAACCTTTGTGCCTTCAAGACAAGTTCTGTTGCCACTGGAACTGTTGCGGAAGTGGAGCATTGGCAGTGAGAGGCCTGGAATGATGTTGCTGTGGCACAGATGAAATGAGCAGTGATGGTGCAATTGGCTGTTTGCTCTTGAATGTGACTGTAAGAGCTGCAGGAGTGCAAGGTGTGTGTTCCAGTCCCCAGCATTTGGTTTGCACATGTCCTGCTCAGACACAGCTCCAACTTCCTCAGTCCTTAACACAACAGAGTGAGAATTAAGGACTGGCACTGTTAAGGTGATTGGTGTGACAGGGGTTAAACTGGAAAACATTGGGTAATTCCTCAGTTTGTCTATTTGCTAAACTCACCCAAAGCTGTGCTAGGAAGAGATGGAGTGGAAAAGTTGAGGCAGCAATGAAAT